CCCACTAACAACACTTCTGTCTTAGAAGGCACTTTGATGAGAAACAAGATTCCTGGCCTTGATAGAAAGAAAAAGACAAGACATGAATCTTGTCCTCATTGTGCTCTCTGCAATCTGTGCATGTCATTGCAATAGTTTCCCCAAATATAGTGTCGTTTCTCTTTAACGAGGAACACATAACAAACATACACATCAAGACAAAAAGACTAGCAGACTGTTTTAAAAGGATAACCCATTCTATATTTTGAATGGTGTACACATGGCAACAGTGATGTCGTCGTCGTTTAGTTGTTTAGTCATGTCCGACTCTTTGTGACCCCATGGACCAGAGCACGCCAGGCCCTCCTATCTTCCACTGCCTCCCGGAGTTGTGTCAAATTCATGTCGGTTGCTTCGCAGACACTGTCCAGCCATCTCTTCCTCTGTCGTCCCCTTCTCCTCTTGCCATCACACTTTCCTAACATCAAGGTCTTTTCCAAGGAGTCTTCTCTTCTCATCAGATGGCCAAAGTACTGGAGCCTCAGCTTCAGGATCTGTCCTTCCAGTGAGCACTCAGGGTTGATTTCCTTTAGAATTGATAGGTTTGTTCTCCTTGCAGTCCAGGGGATTCTCAAGAGCCTCCTCCAACACCACAATTCAAAGGCATCAATTCTTCGGCGGTCTGCTTTCTTTATGGTCCAGCTCTCACTTCCATACATCACAACAGGAAAAACCATAGCTTTGACTATTTGGACTTTTGTTGGCAAGGTGATGTCTCTGCTTTTTAAGATGCTGTCAAGGTTTGTCATCGCTTTCCTCCCAAGAAGCAGGTGTCTTTTAATTTTGTAGCTGCTGTCTCCATCTGCAGTGATCATGGAGCCCAAAAAAGTAAAATCTGTCACTGCCTCCATATCTTCCCCTTCTATTTCCCAGGAGATGATGGGACCAGTGGTCATGATGTTAGTTTTTTTGATGTTGAGTTTCATGCTGTTTTTGCACTCTCCTCTTTCACCCTCATTACAAGGTTCTTTAATTCCTCCTCACTTTCTGCCATCACAGTGGTATCATCTGCATATCGGAGGTTGTTGATATTTCT